CATCCTCAAGACTCACCCCACCATGAAATTGAAATCTCATGTCATCAACCCTCATGTCAAACATGCTGATGGTACCAGCTCATGACTCATGACCATTGGCTTCCCCACGCCACCCAATCTTTTCCATACCCACCCATTCGTGCCAAGATGCAGACTCATGGTGCTCATCCATAGCCTGATAGAGCTCATCAGGACATCAAAGTCAAAGAACTGATTCCTGGTGCATGGAGAGGTGTGAATGGGAGAAGTTAAGCAATGACCTCATGTTACCAACTCTGAGCCCTAATTGGGATGGATCAGTGGCCTGAGCCCATGAGAAGGGAATATATCAGGTTATCAACCCCTTTGCCATGGTTCCTATCAAACCCTCATGGGCACCAGGCATACTAACACTCATGTCACCCAGGCTCATCAGCCCATGGCTCTCTCGTGGCATCCCATGATTCAGCGCCGTTGGCTCATCAGCCTGCCCATGGCTGGATTGAAGTTCTCATTGCTCTTCAGCTCATAGATATCACAGAGCTCATGCAGCAGCCAATGCCTGAATCCCAGTGGGGGCAAACAAAAAGCAAACTAACAAATATAATCTTCAAATAAAGAAACCAGAAACCCTACCAACTCATCAACTCCACCCAACATCTTTCAAATCCACCCAGTTTGCTAATCTTGTGGTCTCCCCTGATCATCTCCTCATATGTGCTATCTGCAGGCTCATGGATTTTGAACATCTGGGACCTCATGGCTGCTTTGATGTTCTCAACCACCTACCATACCCCTGTCAAAGCAACCGAAACTTAAATCCAATCACTGCCAAAAGGGCTCTCAGTCACCTGATCTAATCCATCTCATCAGAGACCAGCCAATTCCTCTCATCCCTACATTCCTCATTGCTTCCTATATGGACTCTGGCCTCATGCTCATCAGCTCATCCCCTCTCAAACCTTCATGGTCCAATGGTCTCATAGCAGCGCGCATTATTCACGGGGAGTGGATTTCATGAGTGGTATCTCATATCTTCTTGACCTTGTTGACCTACCATGTGGGAGGGTTCATTGATCCGGTCTTCGCATTACATCTCTTCTTCCTTTGCCTTTACTGGGCTAGACACCTGACAGGCGGCGCCCGTTGTCTTGCAAGAATGTCAGTCACATCTGACAAGCAGCAGAACGTGCCAGAAAGAATGCCGAAAGAATGTCAGATTGAAATGTCATGGTGGGGATCACCCGGGGTGAAAACATTTGTTTGTGTGTGTGTTTTTCTGCAGCTTGGCTTTGAACTTCCACTCGCACTTTCGCCATGTTTTTGAGCACTGTGCATCTGTCGGCTGAGAGGTTGGCGCTCAAGGAACGCCCGCTCGGAACCCGATTGCGGGCTCTGAAAAAGTGCAATGTTTATAGTTGTAGTGCAGCTGCAGTGCACGGAGTGGCTTTAGGAGGTCAGTGTGCAGAACTGGCAGTTATATAGTGCAAAGGTAGTGTGTGGCGCGGGGTGGCTTTTGGAAGCTCGGGTTCAGAACTGCAAAAGCTGGGCTCCCTACGTATGTTCTTTTAATAGCTGGAGTGTGGTGGCAACAGTAGGCGCCCACAGCGTTTTCGTTGCTTCCATCGCGGTATCCTGCGCCTGTGCCACAACCAGCGCTCGTCTCATGGTACCAGTAGCCCTTGTAGTCGCTCATCCATCCATATGCGCAGTTGGAATATCCTGCTGCGGGCCGGGCTACCCTACTATATATATATATATACATACATAGAATCGCGCGACGCGCTGATATCTACGCTAGATGGGGCGCTTGGCCCCCCTCAATGAAAGAAATTCATTGAAGGAGCAACAATCTGTGGGTATCTCTACACCCCAATCAATTTAACATGATTGCTTGGCCCCCCGGCCCCCTCCTATCCCCCTGCGCTGGCTTTTGCGACTGATGTATTCGGCTATAGAGAGCTTCTTGACAATATATCATCGTCTTCCACCCCTGACAATGGAGTTAATTGCTTCCTCACAGCGTTTAAAGCCTCATTTCATTCTTCAGGGTAGTCAAGAGTTCGTGACGTTCATCTCCAAGTTTGAAATCCTCTTACGCCGGCTTCAAGCTTCGTGGATGGACACCATGCCAGCGCCAACACCAACTCAGGAGTTCCATGGCAACCTTGCCGATTACAACCGTATAGGCAATGCCCGTGGCCGGGAGGAGTGTGCCTGAACGCCCTGAATGTTACTGGACTGATAGAATGCCAGAAAGTCAAGACATTTTGGATAAGTTGCTTAAGATCTGTCAAGATAGATATACAACCCTTTTTCCCGTCGTTTGTCGTCGTCGTCGCGTCTCAAATTTGCTGCCATTGGGGGAAGCTTTTGCAAGTGACTTTTCATGGATGTGTCACGTGTCAGTGCGCGCAGCTATTCCATTGTGATTTGCATGACACCGACATATCGCGCAAGAAACGTGATGCATTTCGTTGCACAGGCGCAGCGTTTTATGAGATCCGCAGATTGCTGTGCAGTTCCATTGGGATTAGCGTTTGGAGAGTCGTGTTTTTGGGGTGTTGGATGTGGCCGTGCCATTGGGATTGGCGTTGGAGGGTGTGGCATCGAAGCTCGGTTTTCGTGACAAGTCTCAGCTGAAATGGCGATTTTGGTGGATGGGAGTGTGCTCAGAACGGGTCGAAATCATTCCAAACGTGTGGTGTGGTGCAAATTTTAGTGAAGCCCACATGCGATGATATTATATGATATTGTCACTTTTCGTGGCAGGCGCAGGACTTTGTGCGGGTTTTGAGGCGTGGAAGTGCGATTCTCGTGGCAGGCGCAGGGTTGCGGGGTGTGATGGAGGTGACAGTTCGTGGCAGGCGCAGTACTTTGTGCGCGTTAGATGTGTGGACTCGGAAAGATTCGTGGCAGGGGCAGGGAATCGTGAGGTTGTGAGTTGTGGTAGAGGTGAATGTCGCTGTCACATTGGGATTGGCGTGTGAGCGGATGTTGTTCGGAGGGGCTGGAATCGCGAAACTGCTTGGCAGGGCTGCGCTCCGATGGGTGTTTCGGCTTGACTTTTGGAGGAAGTCTCGTACGAAACGCTTGTTTTGGAGACTTGACGCGCAACCCTCTGCGGAGATCGTGCGTGTCGAGTCGGCGAAATGCAGGCGAGAGTGCGATTTGTCCCACGCGCGCGCAAACCCTCCGCGGAGATCGTGCGTGTCGAGTGCGCGAAATGCAGGCGAGAGTGCGTTGAGTACGCGGAGTATCTGGGGAGCTGGAAGATGAGAACTGGCGACTTTGTAGTTGTACTTTACGCGGATTATCTGGGGAGAGCTGGAAGATGAGACCTGGCGACTTTGTAGTACAACTTTAGTACGCGGAGTATCTGGGGAGCTGGCAGATGAGAACTGGCGACTTGGTAGTACAACTTTAGTACGCGGAGTATCTGGGGAGCTGGAAGATGAGCACTGGCGACTTTGTAGTGCAACTTTAGTACGTGGAGTATCTGGGGAGCTGGAAGATGAGAACTGGTGACTTGTGGTAGTACAACTTTAGTACGCGGAGCAATCTGTGGAGCTGGAAGCTGAGAACTGGCGACTTTGTAGTACAACTTTAGTACGCGGAGCAATCTGTGGAGCTGGAAGCTGAGAACTGGCGACCTTGTAGTACAACTTTAGTACGCGGAGTATCTGGGGAGCTCAAAAAGGTTCCTACAAGAGTGTCCCACAACAGTGACCCACAAAACTTCCTACAAGAGTGTCCCACAAGAGTTTCCTACAAGAGTGTCCCGCAAGAGTGTCCCACAAGAGTGTCCTATAAGAGTGTCCTACAAGAGTGTCCCACTAAGAGTGTCCCACAAGTGACCCACAAGAGTGTCCTACAAGAGTGTCCCACAAGAGTGTCCTACAAGAGTGTCCCACAAAAGTGTCCTACAAAAGTGTCCCACAAGAGTGTCCCACAAGAGTGTCCTACAAGAGTGTCCCACAAGAGTGTCCTACAAGAGTGTCCCACAAGTTTTTCCTACAAGAGTGACCCACAAGAGTGTCCTACAAGAGTGTCCTACAAGAGTGTCCCACAAGAGTTTCCGACAAGAGTGTCCCACAAGAGTGTCCTGTAAGAGTGGCGTGTAAGAGTGTCCCACAAGTGACCCACAAGAGTGTCCTACAAGAGTGTCCCACAAGAGTGTCCTACAAGAGTGTCCCACAAAAGTGTCCTACAAGAGTGTCCCACAAGAGTGTCCCACAAGAGTGTCCTACAAGAGCGACCCACAAGAGTGTCCTACAAGAGTGTCCCACCAGAGTGTCCTACAAGAGTGTCCCACAAGAGTGTCCTACAAGAGTGTCCCACAAGAGTTTCCTGCAAGAGTGTCCCGCAAGAGTGTCCCACAAGAGTGTCCTACCAGAGTACCGTGAAAGAGTGTCCCACAAGAGTGTCCTGCAAGTGACCCACAAGAGTGTCCTACGAGAGTGTCTCACAAGAGTGTCCCACAAGAGTGTCCCACAAGAGTGTCCCACAAGAGTGTCCTACAAGAGTGTCCCACAAGAGTGTCCCACAAGAGTTTCTTATAAGAGTGTCCCACAAGAGTATCCTACAAGAGTGTCCCACAAGAGTGTCCTACAAGAGTGTCATTTGGACATATGTAGTTTTTTGAACGTGTTTGCATTCGGGTTCGTGGGTTCCATCTTGTTTCCATTTACATCCCCGTGCAGATTCGAGGGGGAGGTCAGCGCAGCCCACTTTAGAAGCTTAAATCTGTGGACATGGCCTCCAGCAAACAAAATGTGGTAAAGAATCAACAGCGCATAGAAAATGAGAGTAGTATAGAATTGAATCCCCAAGAACAGACAAATATGCCCAAACGTTTATTATGGGCAATTCATGGCTTCTATAAAATCAAGGGGCCTGAGCACACTAGCCACCACAACAAAATTATGACATCTTTGGGGTGAGAGACCCCCTGATTCTTGACCATCTAGAAGGAGACAGGATGGCCTCAAGCTTTCAACCGAGAGTGGAACATCGCATGTGTCAGCGAACTTGCAGCCCACGCTCTTTTCTAGATAGTAGCCTTCAGAGATGTGCAGAGCGAAGGACTGCAACACAAAACAGTTTGTCCTGCCTCATTATCGGTGGTTTCAAGATGTCGGTGAATTTCGCCGATTGCCTTCGTTGCCAGATGTTGACCCAGAACTTGTGTCCGAGCCTGTTGGCCCTGATACATGGGACTTTCACTTTTCGTTGGTGTTCCATGCCGCTGACAAGGGCGAAGACATTTTCGAGCCCGGCCAACTGCACCAGGTTCACAACTACTGCGATATATAAAGGCCAACCACAAGCGCCAGCTGATCAGCCTGATCAAAAACGTCCTGAGTCCGCGCCAAAGAGTTTTAATTTAGTAGTTCCAAGGATCCCGGAGCAATTGCGAATCCGTCTACTCCAAGTCCGACGAATGCCCAGGCTTCCGCTGCTAAGTCCGCGCCAGGTGTCCTCTGTTCGAGACAACAATCCTGCTATGCCGTTGACGCAGCACTATGATATGACCGCTGGTGATGTTGCCTCAGTTTCATGTCAACCTCGGCTTGTTAGGTCCTTGATATCTGCGCGAACAAGTACCACCATGGTGGCGAAGGTGGTCCAGATGAACAAGCACAAAATGAAGATCGACCTGACGACGGAGGAGTTGATAATCCTGATGACTGATGAAGAGGAAGAACATGACGCTCCTGACCAGGAAATGAAGATGTTTACCGAAGATGGGCCAAATGACCCAACTCAAGATCAAACGCCACCAAAAGATGATACAAGTCTTGCAGAAGGACCATGAAGAAGATGTGCCCAAGGACGAACTAAAGGCAGAAGCGACGGAGAAGGTTAAGGGCGAACCAGAAGATGATTCTTCAGTAGAACGAAAAAAAGACGACCCGCCAGAACCACCATATGATCATGTCAGAACAACAGAAGACACTCCCTATCCAACTGGGAACTCCCCCCATGTCAGCGCAAGACCACGAAATGCTGGGTCATCTAGGATCTGGAGAACACAAGAAGAACGCACCAGTATGCACAATGCACTGCGATGCCGCCTCGGTGTGTAGTCTCGATATCCCGGTCAAGACCTTTGACCGACAAAAAAATTCAACTGAGCCTCTTGACCCAGATACGGCCAAGATGAGTTCATCTGTGAAACATGGCCCTTTCATGCCCTTTCCATATTCGCACGCGCGATCCTCTATGTTCCATCTGCCAGTCAACACAGACAACAAGCATGTGTTATCTCTGTGGCCAAAATCAGTGTCTACCGCGTCGGATTTCACACCCTCAAGAACGTCGCGACTGTAGCCCCGTCAGAGACCATGAAGGGCTCCCCTCAACACTTGGGCGCCCTCTCAGTGCCCTTGCTTGGTAAGTGGCAGACTGCCACTGACGACTCTGAGGGCTCTCCTTGCAAGACCTTTGCCAAACGCTTGTCTACTTTTAATCATAGTTGCCCAAATACACATGGAAAAGGTGCTTTGCACGGCTAGCGGTTCGATCTCTCCTACTCTTGGTGTCCTTGTAGTTACAGGTAAACGGCCGACACCAACCACCAACCGCACCTGTTTTCCCTTGAGCCAAAGTTAGGGTAAGTGAGACATGTATAAGTATAAGACACACTAGCGTGAAACAACACCCCCCGCTGAACGAAAATGGGAGGAGTGAGGATATGTACAGTGCGTGAATTATTGGAC